CTGTGAGTTGACCCTCATGTGGGAGCCGGGACTCACTAACAGCTGCCATGTTGATGTTATACCTAGCCTGCACTTTTGCCACAAGGGCAGTTCTTCTTTCAGGATACTCATTTGTGCCAGTATCCAGAAGGGTCCTGACATTCCATGCAGCGACCATAATAAGTTGTATAGTTTGTTTTGTTTTGGTGTGTGATTATGATTGTGTTTTTGACCACATTAGGATGACCTTACGGGGTGCAGTTGCACAGTCAGGTTGTTTTTTTAGGCAGGCTATGTTTACGGCACCTTTTCTAGCCCCTTCCCTGTGTGGGGTGAGCAGAGTGGCTCCTCGAAAGGGCTGCTCAGTCGCACAGACAGGACCGGATTACACTGCTGCCTAGATACCAGTGCATAAACGACCATCTTTTCTGTGCCGCCGATGTGCAGAGTTGTGACTAGAGACTTCCGGCAGTCATCTCTGCCTGGCCCCATCACCATTTGTCCGTCGCCATCGGACTTTTGGGGGTATAGGGGTATTTTGTTGATCATGAGAGGTATGATGAGCTGGATGATGGGTGTGTGTGAGGCAGGAGTGCAGGCTGCAACCACACATTTTGGCTCTCCTTTTTCCTGATCCAGTGGTGCAAGTGTTGCAATGACTTGGGAGAGGGAGAGTTGCAATGGACTGCCGATATCCCAGTTTGTTGAGTTTCACCTTAGTAGCCTGTCCATTATGTATTGCCTTCGTCCACCGGTGTAGTCGTTGGGTTCCCATGGTGGTCACCTTTTCCACCTATACTGCCATTGGGGTCTTGTTGGAGCTCTGTAAACATGTCTGTCTGATGTGGGGCTCCACCGCAGAGTTTTCGTTCGGGGTTTACTCCTGTAGCCTTATACCTACCAAGGTTGTTTCGCAAGGCAGCGGGGCAGTGGTTGGTAGGCGCCAGGACATGTCCACATGGCAGTGGGCTAATTTGCCGTCCCTCTGCGGTCCACTGCTACTCCGAGAACCCCTGCTGGTCTAGCCTAAGCCCACGGGGCACCCAGTTACCATGTGTTGCCACAAGGAAGCACAGCAGTAGTCTTGAGGGTGAAAAGGCTGTGTACTGGTACGGGTAGACTTATGCAAGTTGCTTCCCTCTTTGCCACAGGGCTAGCCAGCGGCTGTAGCTGAAAGTGAGAGGGAGCAAGCTGTGCATGCACCTTAACACTAAAATCATGCTGCCACACTAGATGCATTTCACCACCCTGTGTGCAAACACACTCGCACAAAAGCAAAAAAAAAAAAACACGACAATTAAGACAGCAATTATTTGGAGTGGGGGTCTTATTGTATGACAAATTTGGTGTGTGTTACTGCATGGTAGAGAGTTAAATCTCAGTTGTTCAGGAGCACTTGGCAACACTCATTTCCATTCAATCTCTCTAATCACCCACACCTTTCTACTTTCTCACTCCATATTTTAAAATGTTATGTAACATAATGTTGAAGGGATATAACTTTGTTCATTTATACTTATCACAATCTCCCTAAAAATACTTTAGCTTTTGTCTTTATTCAAGTCATCTCCAGGTCATGAGACCCACTAATCCCCCCGCCCATGAAAGGGTGACCTGACATTCCATCAGAAGGTCAGTAATGTGAGACCATCAATCACCTTACCTTCACCTGACAATGTGACAGGTCAGGTCACTTACTTGAAACCCACTAATCCCCCACAGCTCCATGGGAGTGGAAAATACCAGTCTTTGTCAGTGTCATATAGATTTTTTATTTTTAAGTATATTTATTTAACCAAACTTTTACATAAACTATTCTGAATTATTATACAGTCAACCCTCACTTTACGCGGTCCCACATTCCGCGTTTCCACGTTTACGCGGTGCCCTGCCGGAACCCAGGATGCTCACATTCCGCGGTGCGTGTACCCCTTTACGCGGAGAGCGGCTGGCGAGCCGCGCCATTTTTGGATCCAAACCTCCTGCCATGTTGTGTAAGCTGCGCGAACATGGTGCGCACAAGGTCGCCCAGTCATCAAAACATTACCAGTTCTTCACCCGCCACCCACCACAGCCGGCCCAATTCAGTGATAGTGATAATTATGGTGAGGATATGGACTTATATGGACTTTAGGGAGTTTGACAAAGAGGCCCTGCAAGCCTCTGTGGTGGATAGTGATACAATTGATACAAGTGACACAGGTGAGGGCCAATAATCTGCCCTCTGCCTCGGAACCAACTGCCCATCCCCGTGTGCCCAGCCATCTTTTCTACTAATGTAAGTGTTAAAAAACCTAATATTATTGATATTTCTCTTAATTATTAATTGTGTGTGCATACCATCATAAAATTAAGATAATATTTTTACTACAACATAGTTGTGTGTCGTCAAAAAGTGGAGTTTGGGGATCGGCCCGGACTCCATTTCAATTAATCCCATATGTTATGTTATTCACTTTACGCGTTTCTCACTTTACGCGGGACCCTCCGGGTTACATTAACCGCGTAAAGTGAGGGTTAACTGTATATATACAGGGATCAGCCCACCCGGGCACAGGTCACTGACCCACATTGGGGCCTGGGGGCTAAAATATAATAATAATAATAATAATAATAATAATTCATAGGTCTAGGTCGTGTTTCTCACTTTTGATCTTTTTTTCATTCTTGTATTTCTTTATTATTATTATTTTATTATTACAGTATTATTGTTATTATTATCATTGTTATCATTCTTATTTTATTTTTGTGTATTTTTTATTAAAATTTTTATTTGCTATGAATAGTTATTATTATTACTGTATTATCATTATTATTATAATTATTATTACTATTACATTTTCACCCCCAGGCCCCGATGTGGGTCAGTGGCCTGTGCCCGGGTGGGCTGGTAAAAAAAAAAAAAAAAAAAAAAAAAATTGCTCCACAAAAAACTTTTGGTTTTCAGAGCTTTTCGGTTTTTGGAATTTCGGATAAAGGGTTGTCAACCTGTAGTAGACTCGCAACTTAAACGTATTTTTCTTACTCGATTTCAACTATTTACCCTGGGGGTTAGGTTACAATTTCCTATTTCAAACTCAATATTTTCAAAATGGGTCGTAAGTGCGCCAATCGCTAACCAGTGAAACGCTTCACCCCTGCCATCCCACCTCTGTCTTCAGTTGCCGTGTGGGTATTGTCAGAGTAACACCTGCCTCTCGTGTGTGTCAATTTAGTGCGCTTAAACCTCTTTCATACTCGTTCATAATGGCCAAACACAAACCAACCTTTCTTCATTTATTTTTACTCATTTACATGCACACACTCTCCAAAGGGCAAAGCTGTACTGTACATGTACTCAAATGTACTAGATAATTACTTAAAAAATTTATGTCTAGTGCAAACTATACCATGATTATATTCAAACTAATTACAGTCTTACAAGAATCCCAGCAATGTAAGTTTTATCCTCCCAGGTCAGTTCAGTAACATTTTATAAGAGAAAAACTTAGTCACTCTAAAGGACAGATAAATAAATACTACTCGACCTTCGGCGCCAACTGTCACAATACATCACCTCACCTTCCCCTCCCCCTCTCCCCCCATCTTCCCAGCCAGTTCTAGTGTATATGTACATATATATAGTGATTTAAGGGCGATTTAGGAGAGTTTTAGGAGTGTTTCTGACTTTCGCGTTTTTTGGCTTTACGCGAGCTCCTTGGAACGTAACCCTCGCGTAAGTTGCGAGTCCACTGTATACATAATTGTAATCAATTTTAACACCATAACACTGTATTCTTGGCTGATTGTTTGTGTTGGTACAGTAATGTACAGTACTACGCGACACAAATTGTATGCAAAATTATTAGCTAGTGAGGGAACAACTTTCTACAATGGCAGCAGAATATGAATTAAGGCACCAATCAGCAAGGCCACCCATGCCCCTTACTTGTGGGAACACATTGGAGGATTATGCAAACTTTTGGAACACCTGGAAAAAAGTTTTCCAAGCCTAGAACTTATTGGTTTGGAGAGATTTTCTTGGAAGTTTTCCAGAAAATATACCTGATTTTCATTCCCAGAAACTTGTTTGCAGACCTTAAATCAGGGGTTCTCGACCAGGGGGGAATTTCCCCCCTCAGGTTTTCAGGGGGGGGGGGAAACTGATACTAATATGGAAAAACTAAAGGATTTTCAGTATTATATGCATATTATTTGGAATGCACTTTTTGAGGCAGACAATCTTGGAAAGGAGGGGGGAATGACATTCTGACATATGGTGAAAGGGGTGCATGGGGCAAACAAGGTTGAGAACCACTGCCTTAAATGGACAGAGATTTCCCAGGAATTTTTCTGGCCACATTTCAAGCTAAAGGGAAGATGTCTGAACTATAATAATAATAATAATAATAATAATAATAATAATAATAATAATAAAATGAAGACTCATACTTTCATAGATGCTGGGCCTACAAGGAAAGCAGAGCTAGTCGAATCACATGAGGCAGGTGACAGACATTGGGAGATGATTCGTTAGCATCACCACTGCTACTGCTACTAGGATGAGATAGCATTTTCAAATTTACTCGGTGAATTGATAGGTTCTTCAATTTCACCCATACAATATTTTCTTCTTTTCATAACATTTCATCCGATATTGTTTATGTCAAGGGAATTCTACGGCAGCCCGGGAGAATTACTGCACAACGCATCACTTGAAACACCTGATGCTTCCTCAATAAATACAGAGATGATACTGTACTGGTGTTTTTTGGGCTGGAATCAGTGAACATCAGTGGGTAGGGAACAGTTGCCACGAGTCACATTTATTTACTCGAGAGGAAATCACATGTCAAACTTAAAAATTATGGGGAGGATATAGCCTGATTTTATAGATGATCTCCATTTCAGGGGACAAAAGAAGTGCATCATCTATAGGCTATCCCATCGTTTAAGGGTTCATGTATGGCTTGTGGTGCTGTGTGCCTATATAACTTCAGTTACTGCTGTATTTCTGGCTACAGTTGTACCTTCTGTTGCAGGTTATATGTTGGACCCAGACCCGGACACCCGGCCAGACATTCACCAGGTTGCCAGCTTGACCTTCAAGTTGGCTGGAAGAGAATGTCCCATCAGAAATGTCAATGTGAGTTCTGATTGATTTGAGTCCAGAGATATAGTGGTAGTTATGATGACTTTAGTCCAGGTTTCAAAGTTTAGCTCTAGTTATAAAAAAAAAAAAAAAAAACTCTTCTTAGCTCTTAAATGACAGGGAGCTTTTTCCTGTGACTACACTTTTTACATTGATGGGAAAAGATGAGTGTTTTAACACATGGGTGAAATTATAATTTTTTCCTAAACAAAGGACAAGATTTGCTCACTGAATACTGTGACGTAATCAGATTTTCTGTATGCCTAGCAAGACCCTTGAACAATGAGAGAAGATACTGTGTGTGTGACCAGGTGGGAGAGATCTAGATGTTTGACTTGACAATAAAATGCTAAGCTGTATTGGAAGGTATCACTAATCTGACTTCCTTATCCCCACTTTCAAATTTTCAGTCTAATGAAAATTTTAAATAAGACAGAAGCCATTTCTTATGATAAGAAATCATATAGAAGGAGGTATGAAAATGAAATGTAATATTATTTTTTGTTTTCATTTTGTAATATTGGAGACAGACTTTATGGGGCTGAATTTATGAGGAATGTGGATTTGAGTTGTGACAATGCTGTCGGTACTTGTTCATGTACAGTATACTCTCGATTTAATGGAATTCGATACAACTAACTCTCTATTTAGAGGAAGGCATTTTTTTTCCTTATTTTTTGCTTGATTTAGTAAACAAGTTCGTTAAATCGAGATTAATTCGTTAATACGTCACACCTACGGAGAGACCTTAGACACATGATACATTAATACCTACTTCAGCCTTTGACAAATGTACTAAATGTATAAAAACGATAAATAATGATACTGTATAAAGCAATTACCGGAAAATCTGAGAAAATGTTGAGAAAATCACTCCAAACCTTTCTGTTCAGGGCCTGGGGACAAGGGTTCTCAGTGTTATGAAAGATTGTGCCATGTTTAGCCACATCCTCACATGGTTGGTGTGTGGGTGGGAAGAGTGAGGTGACATGCCAAGACACTTACACAGCACACACATTAACAGCACTATTAAACTATTGTCTTATAACATTTGACTTTATAATTTATATTTTAAAACTAATTGATACATGATGGCTTTAGCACTTAGACAACTGATCAATGAATAAACCAGGGCATATGGAGACTCATTATACACCAGTGATGTCACAAAGCTTCACAACTGCTGAGCAACCACATAAATTATCACAACCTGTACTCAAATGAGCTAAGTTAATTAAAAAAAAAAATTATATCTTGTACAAACTATGGGATGTCTATACTCAAATTAATTTCCATCTTGTAAAAATTCCATCAATGCAAGTTATATTCAGCTAAGTCAAGTCGGTTACATTTTATAAGTGAAAGACTTAAACTCCCTGTCATTTATAATCCCGAGTCCCTCCTGACTCCTTAACTGATAACTACACACCACCTGGCTGTCAACACCCCACCTCCCCTCTCCCCTCCTCTCAGCCAGCAGGGTAGGCAGATGGTGGTGGTGGGATGAAGGTGATTTTAGGCTTAAAGTTTTTCTCTTTTACAATGTCACAGACTTGATTTCGCACAATATAACTTGTACTGATGGAATCCTTGCAGGATAGTGATTAATTTGAGTATAAACATTTCATAGTTTGCACAAGAGATAAAAATATTATTCCTTTAACTTTGTACATTTTGAGTACAAATTGGGTACAGTAACATGTTGCTCAAAATTGTGGCTTCTCCACAGGGAAAAGTCTGTATAACTAGCCCCAGTGGTCAGGATATTATGGCATTGAATGTTACATAGAGACTGGTAGAAACTGACCACACGTCCCTAAAAAGGCTCGTCTGCCTCTGTCATTCTAACTGGGCAAAGTATTGTTTATTTGTTATTTATTAATTTGTAAAGATAAATTACTGTAATAATTTGAGCTTATTAATACCAATACCCTTCATATACAGTAAAGTACCTTATTATTATTTTTTTTTTAACAGGAATTAGCCCACCCGGGCACAGGTCGAACGACCCACAACAGGGCCTAGGGGACAAAAAAATAAGAACAGAAAGAAATTAAAAATAGAGAAGAAAAAGGTTATACAGTGGTCCCTCTGTTAACGAAATTTCGGTTAACGAATTACCTCCCATAAGGATCTTCAATTCAGTTAACGAACAAAACTTTGATGAACGAAATCCTTACGACAAACACGTTATGTTGTGAGCATCAGCTGATGGGCTAGTCTGCCAAGTCAGTAATCTGTTCTATGTTTACATTCGTTTCCAGTGGAGTAAATATCAAGAAAGTTGTGCTCTTTAATATTTTTCCATTTTTTATATTAAAATTATTAGTCATTTTAAAATTTAGTTAACATATTGATAATATATGCAGTACAGGGAACTAGTTTTTTGTGCGCCCATCAGCTGCTTGACTCGCCCACCAGGCGTCAGTTTGGCTTTGTTTACAGTGGAGTGAACATCAATTTTGTTGGGGTCTTGAATATTTTTGCATTTTTACATTAAAATTATTGGTCATTCTGAAATTTAGTTAACATATTGATAATATATAGCACAGTGCAGTGTTGATTTAAATAAAATAATCTTGAATTACACCTAGTGAACTTAAAATTTTATTGGTGAAATGACTGCATCAAGCATGGGTCCCCTGAAAGGTGATTTCTCCTCCATCCCCACTTCCTTCTCTTCTCCCTTCTCCTCCACCCCAACTTCTAATTCCCATCATCATCATCAACCAGGAACCTTCTACATACACACCTCAAAGAAAGTGTACTTTACTGCATTTTTTTTTTTTACTTTGTAGGTACTTTTCTGTGAGCTGGAACCAATTACCCAATATCCCATTGAAACAATGGATTCGGTTAACAAACGACTCTGTGAAACGAATTGTGTTCGTTAACCGAGGGACCACTGTACTGTACAGTGGTCCCTCGGTTAACGAGCGCCTCGGTTAATGAGATTTCGGTTAACGAGATTTCGGTTAACGAGTTACCTTCCATAAGATTCTTAACTTCGGTTAACGAGCAATCCCTCGATTAACGAGTTTCTTACGAGCCAACCTGAACATGATTTCGCTTGCATTTGGCGGTCCACCAGCTGTAGTATTAGTCCGCCAATACAGTAATCGGTTCTAGAGCTTAAATTCCTTACCATTTTAGCAAATATCAAGAAGTTTATACTATTCAATAATTTTAAAAGTTTGATATTAAATTTTTTACTCATTTTAACAATTATTGAACATAATTGAAGTACAGGAAACTAGTTTTATGCGCGCCATCCAGCCTCTCAACACACCATACAGGCGTCAGTCTTTGTATCTTTTCAGTGGAGGTAACATCTTGCTTGAGCCTCTCTTCAACTGAATGCTTTTTTCTGTGTTTCCAAGCAAATTATTGGTCATTTTGAAATTTATTTTACATATTGACAATATATAATGCAGTGCAGTGTTGATTTAAAGAAAATAATCTTGAATTGCACCAAGAGAACTAAAATTTTATGGGTGAAATGGCACCATGGGGTGACTTCTCTTCCACCCCAATGCCTTCTCTTCTCCCTTCTCCACTCCCATTCTAATTCCCATCATCATCATCATCCAGGAGCCTTCTACATACACACCTCAAAGTAAGTGTACTTTTCTACCTTTTTTGTTGAATTTAGGCAATTTTCGGTGAGCTGGAACCAATTACCCAAAAACCCATTGAAACAATGGTTTCGGTTAACGAGCAACCTTCTAGAACGGATTGTGCTCGTTAACCGAGGGACCACTGTACTGTGTTAATCTACACCACGAAGGTGCTGGAAAAACAGCTTTTTAAAGTGAGACAGATTGTATAAGTATGGAAACACAGAAGAAGGCAGAGCATTTCATAGTTTGGCTGTGTGAGGAAAGAAGGATATACTATAACGGGTTATTCTAGTGTGACCGACATCCACAGAGAAACAGTGGGCACCGCGAACAAGACGAGTGTTACGAGCCCACGGCCTTGCCGGCGGTACACAGGATGCCAAATCCACCGAACATTGCCCGTTAAAGTTCCTATAAAAGAGAGAGAGTGAAGCAACATTGCGGTGAAATGAAAGGGAAGAAAGATTGTCAACTAAAGGAAGAGAGTTAAAAAGACGAAATGCCTTTGATTCCACCCTATCTAACAGTTGGACAGAAGAAGAGCCACCCCAGATATGAGAGCAGTACTCCAAGTTAGGACGAATGAATCCCTTATATACTTAAAGCAACTGCTCAGGAGTGAAGTAGCTACGGCATCTGTACAGCATTCCCAGCTTTCGGGAGGCAGCTTTAGCTATGTTAAGGATGTGTGATTTCCATGACATATTGGAGGAAATGGTGAGGCCTAACATATCTATTTCAAAATTTGGCAGAATGATAGCATCCTGAAGTGTAATTGGTGGGAGATCATCTAATTTAGAAAGTGTAATTGGTAAATACTGAGTTTTATTACTATTGAATTTAACCAAGTTTCTATCTCCCCATTCAGAGATGCTGTACAGATCTGCATTGATAGAAGTAATGATATCAGCTCTAGAAACAGATGTAATTTTAGAGTTAGGGGGAAGGGGAAAATGTGAAGAAGAGTGAAGAGTAGAATCATCGGCGTAAGAATGGATAGAATTTGTTGTAGTGTGAAGTAAATCATTGTTAAAAATAAGGGAGAGTAGGTGAATGAACAGAACCCTGTGGGACACCACTATTAGTAGAGAAAGAGCGAGAGATCAATCCCTCGACAACAACTGCCATGGATCGGTTCTCAAGGAAGCTAGACATTAGAAAACAAAGTGGGGGAGAGACACCATAAGAAGGAAGTTTAGAAAGCAAAGACTTGTGCTATACCCTGTCAAATGCTTTGGAGATGTCGAGGGCCAAGACGAAAGTTTCCCCATAATCCCTAAGAGAGGATGACCAAAGATGGGTGCAATAGGAGAGCAGATCACCAGTAGATCTCTCCTAGCAAAAGCCATACTGGTGATCCGACAAAAGAGAATG